TGGGTAGGTTTAAGGGTGGGTTAATGTGTAAGGGATGGGTCAACAGTGTAACTATAAATGTAATTACAGAAATTAATTACAGATGTAATTACATGCAGGTATTTTTAAAATATAAGTACAATGTAAAAACATGTATGTACACAGTAAGTGCATTGTACCAAATTATTAATTTAAATGTAAGTACATAGTTGTTAAGACCACTTAATATAAAGTGGGTCCAAATGCATTTTATATTTAGATACAATGGAAGATACAGACAGTACTGCATGTTAGCTTGCTTGTTGTGCCCAAAAGCATATTTATTTAAGCCCATATATCTTACTAACCAGAAACTATGCTTCTAACCACAGGTCGAGAGCTGTAGTTTCAACCACGTAAGTTTGTGACGCTGTTTGCAAATGTTCGTTTGAACTATGGTTTCGGGAAACACTGAATCGTTGAACTATGCTGGTAACGACGGAACTTGCGACCATAGTTGGCTAACGATGCTTTTGGGAAACGCACCCCAGATCTGTTACCACTAGGCTACAATATCCTTCAAAAGCTCAGTTTGATTCTAGGGCATTCTTGAGCTACGTGCATGTGTTTTTCTTAACTCTGAGCGCAGTTCAAAAGCACATGATCTACAGAAGGACTGGTTTCAAAGAGGCGTTTATTTACACCCCTTTCAGCATGCTGTTTTATCAACATTACCTGCCTGGCATCCTGTATTTGTTTGCGGATCACTTCCTTGATAGTGGGGCTGTTTTGCCTCGGCGGGTGGAACAGCAGGTCTATGTTGGTCTCAAGCCTTCTGTGCGGGACGTCTGGCCAGCCTAAATCCAGGTTTGGCGGATCAGTGTCAGAGTGAGTGGGCCAGTATGTGCCTGTGGAGGATGTATCGTCCTGCGGACAGTCCACCTCCTCTGAGTGGTTGCTGGTGAGGGGCTGCACAGCGCTCTCTGTAATATGGTTGATTTCCTCCTCAGAGAGGAAACCGCATATCCCTTCCTCTTTGATGAAATTTCGATAAGAAGCTTCTCCCTCTTTGACCAGGCAGTCTATGGCTAACCGATACGCTTCCTTGTAATGTGGCTGTATGTAATCTTTCGCCTTGAACTCTCCCTTTGAGGAGGACAGCAGTGAAAAATCGGATTCCATCACGGTGTCGATTTGGATTCCTCAAAACTCTGTACAGCATTTGCTACCTAAGAAACAACACACATGATGTTCAACAATTCTGTACATCAACAATATTCTGTGACAACTGACCTAGATACATGCATGATAGCATTTTGCATGGATTTCAAGTTTGGTTAGGAGCTTCGGTAACACTTTATTTTGATGGTCCCTTTTGAGCATTATGTTGACAATAAGTAACCTTGCACTTACCTGTCAACTAACTCTAATTAGAGTGTAAGTAGACTGTCTGATTAATGTCTGCTAACTCTTTATTGTGATGGTGTCCCAACAGACATTCTACTGACTATAAGTAACTTTGCAAGAACATGTCAACTTAATCTAACCCTAACCCTACCAGTCTACTAATACTCTACTGACACTGTTAAAGGGACCATCAAAATAAAGAGAAACTGGAGCTTCTTCTTGGCTATTAAAACTATTTGCTTTACACATTTCTTGCTTATTGGTTTCAACCACTCAGAAAAAGCAATAATTACTGTAGCTTTGAGCTTCAGGTCCTGCCATTTATCTTAACGCTGTTGCTATCATGGTTTGTTTCATTGCAGGAACTGTTTGTTTGAACATGTTACTTCTCCACACTCATTTGGTCTGGAATGATGGATCTCATGCATCAGTACCATCACTTTAAACTTACATTTGTTTTTTTTATGATGTGTATTTAAGACATAATATCCTGGGCCAACTAGCAACAGAAAGTAGAAAATCATGTATGTAAATATTAGGCATTAAGACTGGACCCAAAAATTCCCTACCCAAAGTTCATTTTTCATTAGGATTACTGCACTTGTCAAGCCATTACATCTGACTTTTATTGTGTTTGGTTGGTATTACTATTATTACTAAGTTATTACTAATATTAATTTTGATAAGTTAATTACTATTATTATTATTATAAACTGTTGCATTGCCTGGCACAGCTGGGTTTGTGATCTCAACATGGTGGCCCCCACAAGGTACCTGTAAAAGATATGAACTTTTTTTGTGTTTCCCTTTTGTTTTGTCATCTGGTCTGTTTAGTTCTTCTGTGCCCTCGTTCAGTTCAATGATTCATTAGTGCTCATTAGTTAATTCCCATCACCTGTTTGTCATCAGCTACCTGCCTTATTTAAGCTCACCCTTTGGTTCTTGTCTTGTTCCGGTATTGCGTCTATTTAACGTCTCTACATCTACATCTAAGTTACGTCTATGCATCTACGTTCGAATTGGTGTGTGTCAGCTCCTCGTCTATGTGGTTTATCCTCATCCTGGATACTATTAAACTACTTGTTGAATTTCATCATCGTCTTCGTGTGCCTTCCTCAACACCACCGTAACAGTACCCACTGCATATAGAATAAAATAGTTTGAATTAGGTCATTGAAATGACTGGAGTCTTCATCTCATGTAAGTCTCATGTATGTGTAAATCTTTTTTTTTTTTTATGAGAGCACGTTTAAAACACTGAGCAACAGCAGTGAGCAAACTCTCCAGATGTAGCATGTTCTGCTGCTGATGAAATTGTGAGTGACTCACTGTTCCTATAACGAAGAAGCTGCCCTGTAATTTTTTTTTTCAACTGAAAATGTGAGAAAATGTTGATGTTATCGAATTGAACTGCTTTGAGTCTGGCCAACAGACGCAACCAGAACATTCCATTTCCAACTTAATAATGTTTGCTGGGTGCAGGACAGTTAGTTTAGTTAGCTGACACTCTCTAAATATTGCCGCTAAGTAAGTCTATAAGCCCTGAAGAAAAATAAAGTTATCCCAATCATCTCAATAGTTGCAGAACCCTTCAAGCCTGCTAATGGCCACTTAGACACAACTGTTTGAGTCAGTTGCATTAGTATTAATAGTCCTTCATAATGATGTGTTGTTTGTCAATATTAAGGATTTGATAGTATATTGTCGAGTAAATATTAAAATAAATCAATCAATTAGTGCATATTAATAGAGTTCTTTGGAAACAACCAGGTCATTCATTTGGAAAATAATTTTCTGTTTGCTGATTGCAGGACAGTTATAAATGGTATTCTATTACCAAGTAAGTACAGTTGAACAAAACAGTAACATATGCATTCAGGTGAAAACCACACACTAGAAAACCTATCTAGTTTTTTTTAAATGTCATTAAAAAAAAAGGTTATTTCCCAGAATCCATCAAGGTTCATCCTATTTCAGATTCATCCCATCAGGCATAATTAATTCCTTCAACTTGATTTGACTTGATCAGCAGGCGCTGAGATCTCCACAGGCCTAAAGCATTCACAAGGGGTTGGCATTCAACACTTCAAGTCATTCGGAGCCCCACCTGCTCTGACATGCTGATTAATATGCTGACTGAATAACAAAGGCAGTTTTAGTCAACCCAATCTAAATGCTGGGTGTTAAACAACTCAATTTGTGGTTCTGTGAGAGAAATTTGCTACTACAATAACAATATTTTTTGGATTGCAGTAGGATTTTGCTGATTTATATTGTATATTTAAAAGATCTTGAAAATGTATTTTGCTTGCAAAAGCAGTTTCACTAAACACTTCATTCAGAAAGAAAATTAGAAAAGAAAAGTTCATTTTGAGGGGGTCCAGGAAACTTTTCAAATATTTGTTCATCTTAGAGATCATAAGACATCAGCACATTCCAAAGATCAAACTAGAACTAAAATCCATGTAAATCGTTTGTGAGAACCCTATTTACTTCAATGTACACTTTCTCAGAACTAGTCCGTCACAGTGTCATGCACTAACATTGTGAAACTTATCTTTCAATATGCAAAATCAATACAGGCAGACATATAGCAAAGTAACCTGTCATCTGTACTCTGCAGCTTTCTTGCACTGGCTCCAAACAATTCAGTACTTCAGTAACATTGAGCATGACATTCAAGTCTTTGCCATTTGTAAAAAGTTACTTACTTAAGAGGAAATCATCATGCTGTGTCTCTTAGCATTCTTATCCCGTGTTGTACCAGTAGAGATGAGGTATGTCACAAGCTAAAGGAGATTTGTTAGTCTCTGAAAAAAACAAAAAAACAATGTGTCTGAACAGGAGAAGTGCTGAGAACCTGGTGAAGGGTGGGGATTCAAGTTTTCACATGCAAATAATGAGAGCGTCTCACTGGCCAGAGGCAGTAAACCTGTCTGACATACCGAAGACACGCCTCTTCCCCTCTATCTTTCAGCCTGTGTCTCTATCCTTTCATAGAGTTCATAGTTCACTGAGATAAAGTTGACAGTTTCTATTTCTGACAGAGTCTAGTCTTCTCACTGACAGAGATGTTTTGTAAATGTGACACGTACAATGTTTCAGTGACTTCTTTCTTGTTGTACTAAATCAAGTCCTTCACAGTGTGTATAGGAAGGCAAAGCATGCTAATGTTGGTCTCTTACTGAGAGGAAATCGTTTTTTATGAATGAATTCGTTTATTTTTGGAGGCATGTTTTGATCTATCAAAACACTCCTGACGCTATCTATGCACTGTCGTCTTCAAATTCCCAGACCTCCAAAGATCAAGGAGACTGCCAAAAAGCTTCTGGGTTGCATGTGCTTGCCATAAATGACCGCATCTCGACTTCAGTGGGGTACGCTGCTTATTCCGCGGTCCTTTGTGTAGAAGGAACACAGGGAGTTTTCCTGTGGCCAGTTTTGTCAGTTTACCCCCATACATGCTCTTTTGTAAGTGAGCATTTCATAATCCTTGTCATTGTGATGATTCATTTGTAGGACTGAGAATTGAGAACCGTTTCATTTCTGAAGAAAACTGAATGATTTTCATGAAGCTTTGTTCTGTTCTCGATGTGGACAGAACATATAGTAGTCTGATGGTGTTTTATGTGTTGAAGCTCGAAGGCGCTACTGAATCTCGGGCGCAATGGCAAAAGCAATTGTTTTTTGTCTTGAGGGATCAGCTTGCTGTAAGAATCATGCGAGAGAAAGACCAGAATACAAACAACACCAAGACATAAAGAAATACCATATTTTTTTTACGTGTGTGTATTTTTTTTTTTTTTAGTGATTGATCAAAAATACTCACAATCTAGTCTCAAACTCATGTGTTATTTGTGTACGTGTACTTATGGCTTGCGAAACTTAAATCAGTGCAATTACTGACTGGCTGTTCATGTGACCAGGGTTGAGCACGGCAAAAACCCAGAATTTGGCAGCAAACACCATCTGTCTTTATTTGACATGCCAGACTGGGAAAAACCCTGTTATTACCCCTGCCACCTTGCTTAGGAGATGCATTCTTTCATTCTCACAGGTACGTCCTGTGTATGTTACAAACACACCAGAGGCCTTTCTCAGTGGAGAGAGGCATATCATTTGGCTGCATTGTTTGGCTCTATGTCTTGAGGATTTCAGAAGCAGGTGCAGTCTTTCAGGCCACATTAGCACATTCACAACAGGTTTCTGTCCCTTAAGGTAACTGCATCACAGTCGAGTAATGCTATCCGAAAGGGAATCTTAATGCAAGCAGCCCACACTGTAATATACGTCACCTGAACTGTATCGCGTTTCGTGTGGGCTTGTTCCAGCAAACATCCCTTCAATAGTGTGGATGATGGAAAATAATCTTACTCATCTGCCTATGAGATTATTTCAGTGTTTGTGGAGTGTTTATCTGCGTTCCCATGGACCTAAAGGAGAATCAAGATTTCCAATCAGTCATAACAGACAGGGTAACATGTAAGTTAGCTTGAGAAAGGATGTATTTGGCTTATGAAAATCGAACTCTTACATTACAATGTAAAGGTTAAAAAAAACTGTCAGGAAGATGTCTGTCTCATATTTCACCCTGAAATGAAAAGGAAACTAATGAGAATTTGGGGTGAAAATGTCACAATGCAAGTGTTGTGAGAGTCATAATATGATTGCACTATGTAGTTACTGTGTTGCATAAGAGTTGAACTGTGATTCTGGTCATCTTGAAATATTTATGTACAGTTCATCTGTGTGATCATTTGTCTAGGTAGAAAGTGAACTGAAATGTGTGCTACAGTATGTAAGAGTATGACATTCTCTGACAATTTTTTTTTACATTTAGCATATTTCATTAATTTTCACATCAGATGCAATGGTGTGGTATGTCAGCAAGTCAAAATCAAGTGATTGCATTTCAAATGTATTTTTAGCATTAGGGATGCAAAAAATTTAGCATCCCTAATTTTAGCTGCGGGAATACTAAAATTGTGTAGCATTTTGTTTACAATGTAGTCAATTGCCACCAATTATTTAATTCAATTTGAAATGGCAAATGTAATGTAATCCTGGACATACTATATTGACAGTACTGTACAAACACCCACCCTGTTAATAACAATTTTATTCATCATGTAGGTCAATATGTATAGATTTGCAAGTTGCTTTGAATAAAAGCATCTTCTGAATCAATAGATGAGTCCTTCTTCAGCTATAGCACTTATGGCAATTAGCCTAAAACCTCCATATATATATATATATATATATTTGTAATTAAATTATTAAATGTTCATAATCAGATTACAGTTACTTTTTATGGATTGCATGATTTCATATTGTTTCACATAATGGTAGTTATTGGTAATAATTTTTTTTCTCAATAAAATTTTTCTTTATAGCCGCAGTCCGTAAATTTTGCCTCTTTGTCGCCATCTCTGTTTGAAAATCTGCAATTGCAGCTGTTTGCGGAATTATCTTCATTGCGTGGGTTGTGCACCGGCATGGCTCCAGCGCGGATGAATCTAATGTTTTGAGGTGAAAGTGTGGCAGTCAGTCACCGCACCAGTGTGGATATTTACTGAATCAGAATCAGAATCAGAATGAGCTTCATTGCCAGGTATATTTACACATACGAGGAATTTGTTTTAGTGAATGAAGCTCCACAGTGCTACAGAATGACAGTGACAAGACAGAACACATATAATAAAAAGAATAATATACAAATATACAAAATAGACAATGTACAAAATAGCAAAAACACAATATATAATATAGACAATTATGTATGTACAGGTATGATATTCGTTACAGCGCTGTCCATGATGGTGAGTGGAGGGAGAGCAGGGGGGTTCCTCCTGAAGTCCACGATTATCTCCACAGTTTTGAGCATGTTCAGCTCCAGTTTGTTAAGACTGCAACAGACAGCCAGCTCTTTAACCTCCTGTCTGTAAGCAGACTCGTCACCGTCCTGAATGAGGCCGATAAGTGTGGTGTCGTCTGCAAACTTCAGGAGCTTGACAGAGGGGTCTTTAGAGGTGCAGTCATTGGTGTAGAGGGAGAAGAGCAGTGGGGAGAGGACGCAACCCCGGGGGGTGCCAGTGCTGATCGGACGTGTGCTGGATGCGAATTTTCCTAGCTTTGCTAGCTGTTGATCCACTGACAGATGGAGGTGGGCACAGAGAGCTGAGTTCGCACAGCTCCAGTGATATGTTGAAAATCTGTGTGAAGATGGGGGCCAGCTGGTCAACACAGGTTTTCAGACAGGCTGGTGTCACACCATCTGGGCCTGGTGCCTTTCTTCTCTTGTTCTTTCTGAAGACCTGACGCACGTCATCTTCATACAAGATTTTATCCCCACTTCTGTAAGCATCCTCTTTGGTGTGACGAAGCTGTTTGAGTTTCCCAGTAAACCACGGTTTATCATTATTAAATGATAAGAATGTCCTGGTAGGACTGCACATATCCTCACAGAAACTGATATATGAAGTTACAATCTCTGTGAGCTGGTCCAGATCAGTGGCAGCAGCTTCAAAAACACTCCAATCAGTGAGGTCGAAACAGGCTTGTAAATCCCGCTCTGCTTCATTAGTCCATCTTTTTACAGTCCTTAATACAGGTTTAGCTAATTTCAGTTTCTGCCTGTAGGTCAGTATAAGATGAACTAAACAGAGATCAGAGAACCCCAAAGCTGCCTGTGGGACAGAGCGATATGCATCCTTTATTGTGGTGTAACAATGGTCCAATATATTGCTGTCTCTGGTGGGACATGATGTGATGTGCTGTCTTTATTTTGGCAGTTCACGGGAAAGATTTGCTTTATTAAAGTCCCCAAGAATGATTAAAACAGAGTCCGGATGTTGTTGCTCTGTGTCTGTGATCTGATCAGCAAGTTTCTGTAAAGCTGAGGTCATGTGCGCTTGCAGAGGAATGTAAACACTCACGAGAATGAAGGAACAAAACTCCCACGGTGAATTGAACGGCTTACAGTTAATGAAGAGCGCTTCTAGATCGGGACAGCACGTCTTCTTTAACGCTGTTACATTTGTACACCACCTTTCATTGATATAAAAACATGTCCCGCCGCCGCGCGATTTCCCCATTGATTCTGCATCGCAGTCCGCTCTGAACAGCTGCAAGCCCGGCAGATGTAGCGCGCTGTCCGGAATGGCGTCATTCAGCCAGGTTTCCGTGAAACACAGAGCAGCAGAGTTTGAAAAATTCTTGTTTGTCCGGGCTGTGGTGTGTTCTGCCGAATGTTCAGCAGTTCATCTCTGGTAAAACTGATCGTGTTTGAGAAACAAAAAACAGGAAAAACTAACAAAAACAGTACAAACACTGGAGAACCAAGCACTGAGGAGGTGTCTGCGCCGCCATCTTGTTACAGCTACATCTTGTTACTGTACTTCGCAATCACAGATTCTAGCCTATGTCTTGGAATATATGACCAAAATAAGAATTTTCACCTATATTGTCATCTGAACAAGTAACAAGTCTGCCACGTTTGTTCTGACCAACTTAGGAAAAAAGCATTATAATAAATCTCGCTACCAACGGTGATTTAATCTAAAGATTTGTCTTTAAAATACAAATCTTGTGTTATCCCAGACTATCTGTAATCAGAAGCACATTTAAAACTGGACTATAATTTAATTTCATTCACATGTGTTTCATAAACACATAGTCCTTTCTGGATTACAATCCGCCATCAAAATGATACATTATAAATAAATAAATGAATCTTAATGCTCATACACATTCAGAAAGTCTTCTAGTTTTGTGGAATTATTTGTTCATTTTATTTTACATTTTATGATTTCATTATT